TATGTGTATGTGTATGTGTATGTGTTATGTGTATGTGTAAGTGTAGTGTATGTCGTGTCATGTGTAAGTGTAAGTGTAAGTGTAAGTGTAAGTGTAAGTGTAAGTGTAAGTGTAAGTGTAAGTGTAAGTGTAAGTGTAAGTGTAAGTGTAAGTGTAAGTGTAAGTGTGTGTGTGCGTGTGCGTGTGTGCGCGTGTGTGCGCGTGCGTGTGTGTGTGTGTGTGTGTCAGGGCCTTAGTGGGCCCCGGAAACGGCAGGGCCGTTTTTCACCGTTTCCGAAAAAGTGTCCCTTGAAAATGGAAAAGGCAAACAAAACGGCGACCGGAAACGGCAACAGAAACGGTTCCAGGATTGGAACCAGAGCGGGATTCCGTAAAAGAACGGCGACGGAACCAGTAAACAAACGGCGTCGGAAACGGCAAACAAAAGAACGGCAAAACGGAACCCATAAAAAGAAAAACGGCCTCGTCGTTTCCAGGGCCCACGAAGTCCCAGGGCCCTTTCAAGTCGTGGAGTCCAGAGGCCTCAGGCCATCGAGCCTCGATCACATGCCGCCGCGGCGGCAGCCACGCGCAGGCGCATCCGGCGCCTGCCCGTGGGTTCAAGCAGGGCTAAGCGTCCCGGCTCGCCTTTAGCCCCACTAACAATGTTCTAAGAACCTGCTGTGGTTCCCACGAACTGTTCCTGGAACCTTTCTGGCTGGGACCGTCTTGTTTTCACACATCGGGCTTCTGTTCTAAGAACCTTGGTTTTGTTCTTCGAACATTTTTGGGTTCGAAGAACATGTCGTGGTAGGACTAGGAATGCCGGGACGGTCGGTCCCTGCTCAATTCGGGGGCGGAAAAGAGGGGGGTGATGACTGGGGGGGGGGGATATCATGGCGGGGGCCATGATATTTCCCCAGATGTCACGGCGCCTCTTCTTATTTCATTACGTCCCTGGCCCCTCCGCTGAGCCGCGCACCTGCCGCCAGTCATGATTTGCACCCCCCCTCTTGGACACCTCCCTCTTGGACACCCCCCCTCTTGGACACCCCCCTCTGGGCACCCGCTGCGCGACACGCAGGGGAAAGGATACGGTGGGAGCCCATGCCGAGAGATACCTCCTCCTCCTCCTCCTCCTCCTCCTCCTCCTCCTCCTCCTCCTCCTCCTCCCTCTCCTCCTCCTCCTCCTCCTCATCCTCCTCCTCCTCCTCCTCCTCCTCCTCCTCCTCCTCCTCCTCCTCCTCCTCCTGCTCAATGGGTGCCCCGGGCCTGGGCGGCGGCCCGCCCCTCCTGCGCGGCGGCGGCGGCGGCGGGGGTGGGCCGGGCGCACCGAGGTGGAGGCGGACGGCGGGCGCATGAAGGTGAACCCGCTAGGCGGGAGGGGGGGGTCCAAGGGGAGCGGAGGAGGAGGGAGAGGAGGAGGAGGAGAGGAGGAGAGGAGGAAAGGATGGAGGGAGGAGGAGGAGGAGGAGGAGGAGGAGGAGGAGGAGGAGAGGAAGGGAGGAGGAGGAGGAGGTAGGAGAGGGAGGTCAGGGGAAGAGGAGGGAGGAGGAATGTGGAGGGAGGAGTAGGAGGAGGAGGAGGAGGAGGAGGGAGGAGGAGGAGGAGGGAGGGGAGGCAGGAACAAAGCGAAGAGGGGAGGAGGAGGCCGGAGGGGAGGAGGTAGGAGGAGGAGGAGGAGGAGGAGGAGGCGGATGCCGGGCGCATGAAGGTGAACCCGCTGGGCGGGAGGGGGTTCAAAGGGAGCGGAGGAGGAGGAGGAGGAGGAGGAGGAGGAGGAGAAAGCGAAGAGGGAGGAGGAGGAGGAAGCGAAGGAGGAGGAGGAGGAGGAGGAGGAGGAGGAGGAGGAGGCGGACGGCGGGCGCATGGAGGTGAAGCCGCTGGGCGGGAGGGGGTCAAAGGGGTCGTGCCGAACGAGAGGGGGTGATAGGGAAAGGGGGAACGGGGGAAAGGGGGAAAGTGGAGGGTTCCGAAAGGGAGGGTAGGGAAAGGGGGGATAGGGAAACGGGGAAAGGGGGAAAGGGGGAAAGGGGGAAAGGGGATCGTGCCGAACGAAAGGGGGGCAGGGGGGGTCCGAAATCTGCTGCATGCGGCTGGTTTGGGCCCCACCGAGGGGCCCAGTCCTCGATGCATTGGCCGCCCCCGGCGCCGGGAGGCGCCGTGGAAGTCAGCTGCGCGAGCTGATTCTCAGGCCCCCCCGTTGGCTATCCCCCCCCCCTTCCGAACGGCCCGAGGGGAGCGGGAGGCGGCGGCACGCCGAGGGGGAGCTGTCGTGCTCGTGCTGCGCTCCCCAGAGAGCAGGTCGGGCAGGTTCCTCCTCCTCCTCCTCCTCCTCCTCCTCCTCCTCCTTTCTCCTGGCAGGTTCCACAGACGGACGCAGTCCCAAAACAAATTGCAGTCAGCGCGCCTGGTAAGGGCGCGCGCCTTCATCTGTGGTGCCCTTGTGTCCTTGCCTCTGCGTCCCGTCCTCTGCCGTTTTCACTGTTCGCCCGCCGCCCCAAGAGTCCCAATCTCGGCCTCCAGGGGTCTTGCGTCCTTGCCACCCGTCTTTCATACACGTTTTGACTGTAGTCCGGGGACGATGTTTCAAACGCTTTTTGGCATCTTTTGAACATGTGTTCCGATCCTTTTTAAACATTTGTCGTCCAAAACCCCTCTGGAGGGTCGGGCAGGTCCCTCTACAGGAGGAATATCCAAAAATAGCCCAGGGACGATGTTCCAAAATTCCCTCAGCATTTTTTATTTTCCGACCCTTGTTTTCTTTTTCGTCCAAAGATCACTTGGAGGGGGACGGGCCCGACCTGACCCAGAGAGCGTTTCGCTGGAGGGTACTACTCACGTGGACACGGGCAACATTTTTGTTGTTCGTGGCAAAATCACGTGGACACGGGCCACTAGTTTGACTACTTGTTTGAACGTGCTCTGGCTATTTTTTGTTGTTCGTGCAAAATCCCCCTGGAGGGGGACAGGCCCGACCTGACCCAGAGAGCGTGTCCCTGGAGGGTGCTACAGTCCACCCGCGTAGTAAGGATGGGCACCCTTCGCAACGGTGCCCTCGCATCGTTGCCTCCTCGGTCCATCCTTGGCCACTTTCTCTGGCCGCGCCCCGCTCGGGAAGCTTCGAGATGGGCTTCCACTTCCACGGCCCTTGCATCCTTATCCCGCATCCTTCGTGCGGGCTGACTGTAACCCAGAGAGCGTTTCGCTGAAGTCAAGCAGTGGCGAAGCGTCCTGGCTCGCCTATAGCCCTACCAAACAACGATCTAAGAACCTGTTGTGGTTTCCACGAATTGTTCTCAGAACACGTCTGCCGGAGATTGATGTGTTTTAATACATGGGGCCTATGTTCTGAGAACACTGTTTTTGTTCTTAGGACACTTTTGGGTTCTGAGAACATCTCGTGGCAGGACTATAGAACTGCCGGGACGGTCGGTCCCTGCTCAGTGGAGGCTGCTACTCACGTGCACGCGGGCCACGGGGGAGTGCCACGCGTGGGGGGGGGGGGTCGGGGAGCCCGAGGGCGCCCCGACCCCGGCACGCTCCGGCGGCGCTCTCTCGCCCGAGCTGTGCCCGCGCGCTGTGCCGGGGTCGTGCTGTCTTAAGTATCGGGGGCGGAAAAGAGGGGGGTGATGACTAGGGGGGGGTGGATATCATGGCGCGGGGCATGATATTTCCGCAGACTTCATGGAGCCTCTTCTTGTTTCAATACGGTCCCGGCCCCCCCGCTGGGCCGCGCACATGCCGCCGGCCATGATTTGCACCCCCCCCTCTTGGACACCCCCCTCTTGGCCGCTCCCGAAAGTAGGGCCTGTCCACCTACAGGCCGATTTTGGACGAAAAGTAAGAACTGCCCCTAACATGCTCCAAAGAGGATCAAACATAGCCCACAAAACAGTCCCCAGACTATCATCGACTAGACGTAAGAGTGACCTTTCGCCGGAGTGACCTTTGGTGCGGGCACAGATGGGCCCCCAGATGGCTGAACGCGAATCGGTAGCAGCGGTTGGCGCGCCTGGATTTGGCCTCCCCGCGGCCCCCCCAAAGCCGCGCACCAAAGGTCACTCTTACCCAGGGTCACTCTTGCGTATAGCCGAAGTAGGGCCTGTCCCCCTACAGGCCGATTTTGGACGAAAAGTAAGAACTGCCCCAAACATGCTCCAAGGAGGATCAAACATAGCCCACAAAACAGTCCCCAGACTATGTTCTAACTATTTTTGAAAATGTTCCCTGTAGAGGTAGGGCAACCAACAATGACAGAAACATAAAAACTCGGAGGTCCGCGCGGATTTCTCGGGTCGGCGCTGGAGGCCCCTGGCGGCGCCTCTGGCGCCGCCCCTGGCGCGCTCCGCGCGCCAGGGAGGAGGGTCCAACGCCGATCCGAGAAATCCGCGCGGACCTCCGAGTTGTTATGTTTATGCCACTTTTTGTTCCCCCCCTAGCTCTACAGGGGGAATTTTCAAAAATAGTTAGAAAATAGTCTGGGGACTATTTTGTTGGCTATGTTTGATCCTTTCTGGAGCATGTGTGGGGCAGGTACGCAAAGTTGCACATGGCCGTGCCCTGACGGCCACGCTCCCATTGCAAGAGATGCACCGAGGTGGCACGCGGCCGTGCTCTGGCGGTCACGACCTTCTCGTGAAAAGTGCGCTGAGGTGCACGTGGCCGTGCTCGGACGGCCACGGTCCCTGGTTAAAAGTACACTTTTGTGCACATGGCCATGCTCTTACGTTACCAGTTTGGGACATATCCCTTTCCTTGTGTTTGGCATCACCTCACCCCGATGCCGATCTTAAGGACTATCTCAGGTTATAAGGGCACATCCCTAAGATTGTCCACGCTTGTTGCTCGCCCATCTTAGGGATAGGGCTAAGTTCGAGGTTGGTTATGACGGTTACGATTCCTTATAGCAAATTCGTTAAGGTGAACATGGCGGTGATTTGTTATTATTCTAGACGATTCGCCTAATCCCACCGGCCCATCCAGAAACGATGCCCAGGCGAGTTGCCTTGATCATGGACGTGGAGGAGCAGGCATTCGACAGAAAGGGTTGGGGAAGCCGTCATACCCCCAATAGGGGGAGGATGGAGGAGGATTCGGAGGAGAAGGAGGAGGAGGGGGAGGGGGAGGGGACGGAGGGAGGAGGGAGGAGGGAGGAGGAGGAATAGGCGGAGGAGGAGGAGGAGGAGGAGGAGGGCGAGCAGAAAGGCCAAAGTCCTCGTGAATACTCTCGGAGTCGCCTCGGTTATCTCTTGAGAGTTTCTTGGAGTCTTTCGGGGGCCGTCTTTCGGGCCTCTTGGCGGTCCCAGGGGCCTCTTGGAGCGCCTCTGGGGAGCCTCGTTGGGCCTCTTAGGGGTCTCTCGGGAGCCCTTTGTGGACCTCTTGGGGTGCATTTTTGGGACATGGGGCCATCTTGGGGCTATCTTGGAGGACGTCGATCAGCCTCGCCCCCCGAGGAGGCCATGACTTTTGCCGTCTACCCCATGCCTTCGTGGACGTTCCAATGGGTCATGGGGCGCCCCGTCCAGGTCCAACGGAGGGGGCGGGGGAGGGGTCAAGGCACCTCTTCCAGACGCAAACTGCTTGGCTCACTCCCAGCCAGCATCCCAACACATAAGTAGTATCCAAGTCTCCGCATATTCAGTGGTCGTCTTTGGATGGACAGCTACTGGGAACCAATACGGCCACCACGTGCGCGACGCTGGGGCGAGGTGCGCCGTGCGTGCCAGGCGCACCATGCGGACCAGGCGCGCCAGGCGCCCCTGGGCCTAAGCGTGCCAGGCACGCCTGGTGCGCCAGATGGCCACCTGCTCCACGTGCGCCAAGTGGGCCGCATGCTCCAGCCGCACCAGGTGGGCCACGCTCGGGGCACGCGCAGAGTGTGCCAGGTGCGCCCGCACACATCGGGAAACGTGTCGGCCCCCACCATCCGCAGGTCCTGGGTTTGTGGCCAGTCGGGTGGGGGGAGTGGGTGCAGCTCCGCAAGGAGCAGTGCTCTAGCTACCCCCCCCCAGACGCAAATCCCGCCCTCCCAGCACGGAGCAGTACCCGATAGTGCCGTTTTGAATACATGCTCCGCGTGCGGAGCATGTAGTAAACATGCAGGGATTTAGTACTAAAAACAACCATGAGTTCAAGCATAAATTTATTCATACATGAATCATGCATTAAACATTCTACATGACGAACCAACAACACACACCCATACCCATAGGGGGGTCGGAAAGGGCTATGGGTGCATGCTGTCGGACGGGGGTCCCCGCTCGAACGGGAGCGTTCCCTAGGGTCCGACAACCCGTAGCCAGTCCTCCTCCCAACGACCCCCCTTATGGGTATGGGTGTGTGTGTTGTTCGTGCGTCACTATGTGTCTAAAAAT